TAGGCAAACACCTCAACATCTACAGGACTTCTATTGTGGTAATGTCTCTTCTTCTCCAGAAGCAACTCAAACATCTACTTCAAATGATTGCTCTCCAACAAAAGGTAATTTCTATCCTCTGGATCATTTTCTATCTACAAGTAGACTCTCTACTTCGCACAAAGCCTTTGTAACCTCTATCACACACTCACCGGAACCCAAAACATACACACAAGCCTCTAAACTTCCTGAATGACAAGATGCTATGAAAAGTGAAATTCATGTTTTAGAGTTAAATAAAACTTGGGAGCTTGTTACTCTTCCTAAAGATAAAAACGCTATTGGATGTAAATGGATATTCAAGATAAAATACAGGGCTGATGGATCCATAGAAATGCATAAAGCTAGACTGATGGCAAAAGGATATACTCAACAAGAAGGTTTGGATTTCTTTGACACCTTCTCTCCTGTTGCCAAAATTAATTCCATTCGGTTACTATTTGTAGTAGCAGCAGTCAAACAATGTCATCTTCATCAACTAGATGTTAACAATGCATTCTTACATGGAGATTTACATGAGGAAGATTACATGGAATTGCCTCCGGGAATGAATGTCAAAGGGGAACAAAAGGTTTGCCTACTCTTGAAGAGGCTTTATGGCCTAAAACAGGCCTCTAGACAATGGTTTGCCAAGCTATCCACTGCTCTCATTTCTTATGGATTTGTCCAAGGAAATTCTGACTACTCCTTGTTTGTCAAGAAATCTGAAAATTCATTTATAGCATTATTAGTTTATGTTGATGATGTGTTGTTGGCTAGTGACAACATTCTAGAGATTGAGAACTTAAAATCTTTTTTGAATCAGAAATTCACCATTAAGGACTTTGGAAAGTTGACATACTTTCTTGGATTGGAAGTTGCAAGGTCCAAAAATGGCATCTCCCTATGTCAAAGAAAATACGTACTTGACATACTTGAAGACATAGGTTTAACTGGATCCAAGCCTGCTGTCTTCCCTATGGAGTCTAGCCTCAAGTTATCAGGTAATGATCCTAATCTATATGAAGATCCATCAAGTTACCGAAGGCTCATTGGCAGATTACTCTACCTAATTCTCACTAGGCCTGACTTAGCCTATTCTGGGCAAGTGCTCAGCCAATTTTTGGGAAAACTAGCTGTTAGTCATCATCAAGCATCCATTCGAGTATTGAGATATATAAAAGCCACACCAGGACAGAGCCTTTTCTTTCCATCTTCCTTAGACTTACATTTAAAGGGCTTTTCAGATAGTGATTGGGCAGGCTGTGTGGATACTAGAAGAAGTGTCACTGGTTTTGCAATTTTCCTTGACAAATCTTTGATTTCTTGGAAATCAAAGAAGCAGGTTACAATCAGTAGATCATCTGCCGAAGTAGAATACCGAGCCCTTGCAACTACGACGTGTGAAATTCAATGGCTTTTGTATGCCTTACAAGACCTGAATATCATTCATTCAAAACCGGCTTTGTTATACACTGACAGTAACTCAGCTATGTCCATTGCTACCAATCCGGTTCAACATGAAAGAACTAAGCACATCTAGATTGATTGTCATCTTATTAGAGAAAAATTACAACAACATATCGTTAAATTATTTCATATTCCTTCGCATTTAAGACTTGCAAACATTTTTACAAAACCGCTTGGCTCTCTGCCTTTTCATCATGCTCTTCGCAAGATGAACATCATTAACATCCATGTTCATCTTGAGGGGTGGTGTTGGAGTGTAACATCCCACATTGAAAGTATGGAGCTAAAACGAAAAGAAGAAAAGCTCAAATTAGAAGAAAAAGAATTAGTTAAACAAGTTAGTTAGTTAGTTGTTATTTCTGTTTTTTTGTTGGTAGTTAGTTCAGCATTCTTCTGTTATTTTCTGGTGATTTTCTGTTGATGTAATTCATTTTAAATATGGCTCAACCTGATGTACAAGATTTATTGAATACACTTTGATAATCCTTGCCATTATCTGTTCCTTGATTCTGTTTATCAACACTAGCCACCAACTTGTTTTCTTCCCACTTTATTTGTTCTGCAGGCTGCATTTTTTTCCCAATTTCTGCGTGTATAATTTCCCTCGACTTTTCTCCACAAGCTACCGACTTGTATCCCAAAAGTCAGCTACCTATTGATGTATGTAATATAATCCAGCAGCTCAATGTCCTTTCTTCCGTGTTTGTGCCGAAAATTCCCAAGCAGCTTCGTCTTTTTCTTCTCCCGTTTCGGTGCGTATGCATGTGTGTGTGTGTGTGTGTGTGTATGTCAATTAGCCACCATTTTTTTTTCTTTCAAGAGGACTCTTATTCCCTCTTTATATGTGTGGTATGCAGCCCTTTTTACTTGATCCCAACAACTGCCGACCCTTTTCCTTGTCAATGCATGTGTGTATTTATCCATTCAACAGCCCAAGTAAAATTAATGCTAGGCCTAATAGGTTTTGTTTTCAACAGTAGTCCAAGTTGAGGCCCAATTAATGTATTATTTTCTTCAAAGTTTCATCTTTTCCAAGCAATGAAAGTTAGTCCTTGTACTTTGGATTTTGCCTTTTCGCCATTGTTTACTTCTTTCCTTCAATTCCTTTTCATTTATTTAGTTTACCTATAAAACATAAAATACAACAATTTAGGAAATTGCTAAAACTATTTTAGGGCCCCGAATAAGTGTATAAAAATACACTTATCAAGCATATCAGTTAAGTGCCTAAAAAATAGCATTATGAAATGGTCATGATCTTAACAGTCACTTTGACTTCTTTATTGCCTAAAGAATAGCAACAAATAAAACTGATTTTTGGCAGTCCGTTAGCAGCTTCATGAGTCATGTCAGTCAACCAAGACGCTTCTATACTTGTAACTTTTGAAGCTTATGTCCAACACAGGCAAATGAAAATTAATAAAGCTATTTAAGAACATGAAATAATACTCCATATTAGCACTCTACATATATTATATTTCCAGTTGGGATAAAGATACAAAATAAACAGTGCAGTAATCTAAACATAAGAAGATGATATAAAGGGGATATATAATATCCGGACTACTGACTGAACAAGGATATTTTCGAAGAGGATTGCTGAGTTTGCTTCTATGGCTCAATAGTGAGATATTGAACACACTAAGACAAGTAAACGTTTGAGTAGATGAACTTGGAAGACCAACAAAATATATAATCATATATGGATTATGATTTCACTCATCGTATTTGTCACTACATCTTTTCGTAGATCTCCATGGATCTCGAGAGACAATAAGTTCGACTAGTTGATCAGCATCACCATGGTCGGATGGCAAGATGTCATCTTCTGTTGGGAAATTATAACGTTGTCCAATAGCTTTCAAAATCTGGTACACTTCAAACATGGTAGGCCTCTCTTTAGGATCTGTCAGCACAAAACTACAGGCAACATTAAGAAACTCGGAAAGCTCATCATCATAACCTTTTCCCACCAAGAACTGATCAATTGCATACTGAAGTTTATAGGTTCCAGCGAGCTGGAAAATCCAATCTGCTATATTACCGTTAAACCTTTCAGGGGCTTTAGCCACATTGGTCGGTCTCTCGCCTGTCACTAACTCAAGAAGCACGACCCCAAAACTATAAACGTCTCCTTTTGGAGTGGCCAGCAATGTTCTTACATATTCTGGAGCAACATAGCCCATGTCCCCAAATTCACCATTTACATAAATACCTAAATAAGCTCCAATAGGATTCATGAGACTAGCAAGTCCAGAATCTAATATTTTGGGTTCATAATCGACATCCAATAAGATGCACTTGGAATTTATGTTTCGATGAATAATATGAGGATTGCAGCTGTGGTGTAGCCATGCGAAACCTTTCGCTGCCTCAATCCCAATTTTAAGCCTTAAAGGCCAATCCATAGGTTCGCTCCCGTCTGTCAAGTGTAGTCTATCATGGAGGCTGCCATTGGGCATGTGCTTGTAGACTAAAAGTCTCTCCTCCTCAGTCGTGCAGAATCCTAGAAGCGGAACCAAGTTATTGTGTTTTACATTTGCTAGTGTAGCCATCTAAGAAGAAAATTCGCTGTTTGAGTATTAAGTACCACGCAATCTCTTCACCATAAAGCAGGTGCCATCTTCAAGTTCTGCCTTGTACATTGTCCCTGTTCTTCCAAACCCAATTATATTCTCTTTACCGAAGTCATTAGTCACCTTCATGAGATCACTCAATTTCATTTCAGAAGCTGAGTTCTCAAACATCGAAAGCGGAAATCAGGAAATATGACTATTTGTCATTCCTTGTAATATATATATATATATATATATATATTAAAAGTGCTTATGTCCAAAGTTGATTGAACCTAGAGCATGACACTTACACCTCTCTCATGTGAGGGGCGTGTATAACACCGGTGTTCAAATAGCAAAGTTTTATATATATATTTTTTTCCTTGAGTTATTGTGGAAGTTACAATAAGGGCTTCTTGATTTTTTCAGTTGTAAAAATCGCAATAGTAAGCAAAATAAGTAGAAGAGGAGAAAGCATGAAATAACTTGGATGTAAAAAGGAACAATCTACTAACCAAAACGTCAAATTACAAACCATTTTCGCTCCTATAATCTCTCTCTAATAATATGTGGTACTCTTGAATGAACCATTTTTCCCCTTCAAGAGAATGTTGTCATATCACAGACATCGACTCCTAAAGTTTGTGTTTCTGAGCTGGAAATTCTACTTCAAAGTTAGTTTCATTCTGAGGAGTATAATTGCCAAATAAATTGAACTCCTAAGAAACAAAAAATGCACTAGCATTAGACAATCATGGATCCATCTTATTATAAAAACAATGACAAGCGTGAATGGGGAAAAAAGTGCAGTTTGAGTGTCAATGTAACAAATTTAAACAATATGTTATAAATAACATAACAACAAATAAAATTAGTAATAGAGTTAAGAGAGTTAAATTGAGAGACTGAGAATTTCCCAGAGATTACATCGGTGTTGGGAATGAAATGAGGATTTGGGGGTACTTATGGGATTTCTTTTAAATTAACATTACAGTTTGCCATGTAAAATAATGTTGGTCATTACATTCATTTCTAATTTTCTTGTTTACTCCGCTGAAAGCTTTTAGAATGTTGATGTTGAAAGTTGAATTTGTTTCAGGTTTGTATACTCATTTTTTGTGGGTTATGGCAGCTTTTTTGTGAGGATGACATTGGATTTTCGGGTTTTCTCAACACTCATAAGCATTTTATTTCTGTTGCTTGAGAGGGCGTCCTTTACCTACTCTGCTCAGAGTGATGTTGATTGCCTCAGAGCTATACAAAATTCTTTGGAAGACCCTTTTAATTACCTGAAATCTTCTTGGAGTTTCAATAACAATACTGAAGGCTTTATTTGTAAGTTTGATGGGGTTGATTGCTGGAAGCCAGACGAGAACAGGGTCCTGACTCTCCGGCTGAGTAGCATGGGACTTAAGGGCGAGTTTCCTCTTGGTGTTGCAGGTTGTTCATCCTTGACTGGCTTAGATCTTTCTAATAACGAGATTTATGGAAATATTCCGAATAATATCTCTAAGATACTAGGATTTTCGACAAGCATTGATCTCTCATCCAACCAGTTATCCGGAGAGATCCCTGTGGATCTCGCAAATTGCGCCTATTCGAACGTCCTTGAACTTGACAACAACCAATTGTCAGGTCAAATCCCTGCTCAGATTGGTCTACTCTATCGACTGAAGACATTTAACGTGTCTAACAACCGATTGACCGGCCAAGTTCCACAATTTAGAAATGCTACTTTTCTGGCAGATAGCTGTGCGAATAATACAGGACTATGTGGCAATCCTTTATCCCTCCTTTGTGGTGGTTTTTCAAAGAAAATTAATAGTGCAGCCATTGTAGGGGGGCTTTTGTAGGCTTCGCTGTTGGGATTGGCATTTGCATTTGCATAGGCACGCTCTTCTATTTGCGTAAGGCGTCCAGAAAGAAGAAGGATGAAGATCCTATGGGCAACAAATGGGCAAAGAGAATCAAGGATGCCAAAGCCATCAAGGCAAGATACATTTACATTTTAGCCTCCGTTTGGCCCCCATTTTTTGGAAATGAAAATGTGCGGTATAGTGATTTTTTATTTATTTTTTAAATAAGTGGTTGAAAAAAAATGAAAAGTTTTCAATTTACATGTAATATTATTTTATGGAAGATTGTGTGGTTGAAAATATGAGAAAAAAATAAAATGTAATGAAATGAAATTTAATGGGGGCCAAACGGGGGCTTATTGGAATTTCTTTACATATAATAATTATTGGGATATTTGTTGCGACAGTCCTCAATCTTACAAAAATAAAGCACGTGGATCCCAATCAATTTTTCTGGTCTATAGATCCCTAAACTTTCATATTCGGTGTACATTGGTCCCTACATGATGGAAAATGTCCTTTTTTTTCTTTTTTTTTCTTTTGGGCTGTTAAACAGTCTCATGCTTGCTTATTTGAGTGTTATTTTCGCCAACCTCCTCCATTTCCCTCAATAACAATGAAAAGGGAGAAGACAAGGGCCAAAGGTGAGCACTCTATTTTCCCTTTTGTACTGTTTGAGAGAGAGAAAATGGGTTGACAAAAATAACCCTTATTAGCGTGAGCAAAGTACGTGACTACATGATGGAATAATTGAAAATTTCCTTCCGTTAACCAATGTGAACCAAAAATTGAATTTTAGGAACCTTAGCGGCAAAAATGATAAATTGCATTGGGGAGCGGTGTGCTTTATTTCTCAACATTTAAGGACCGTGGTTTCATATTTCCCAAAATTATGTTGCTGAATTTCATAATTTTGGTGTCGCTTCCTAACTGCATGAATTTTTCCTTCTCATATTCAATTAAATTGAGTAATAGAATCGTAGATTCAAATTTCAGTAATTTGTTAATCACAATGAGTTGTGATTGTGGGATACAAATTAGGTGTGAGTTGAATCTTAAATAATCCATAGTCATAAGTAATAACGAGATATGAATATCGTTATAACAATTAGACCACAAAGTGTGGCATTTTTTACTTGTGAAGTAAGTAGGTGATCTAATAATCTAAAGTGTGGTGACACTTAATAAACGCGTGGATGTTTCCTTATAGAACAAAATATTGGAGACCAGCTTGGAAATTTCACATAGATAACTCCTGAGTGTCAGTGGTTAATCTCTAATGTTTAGTAGTGAAATTGATCATTTGACTTGAAATCATCATGGTGCCTTTTATGAGGACAGTCATACTTTGACAGTGTTAAATATTGCTCAGCCAATGATCGCTAATACTGCATCGTTCGGGTATGTCAAGAATCGTATAAAGGTTGTGAATAATCAATAGATGATTCATCACTCTTAGATAGTAAGAGATTATGATCCACATTTCATTCAATTAAGTCGAAGACGAAATCCTTGGCCAAGGTGTACATAGAAGTCGAAAGGGAGTTTTCGACTTATATTGACTTAATAGTGGAATGAAATATATGATCAATAATCGGAATTGACACACTTCTATATCCCATAATTGATCGGATCATATTGATCAAGGGATTATAGTTTCATAGTAAACGAACGAGTTTGGTTTTATCATACTACGTGACATTTTTCGTCACAATCTGGGATGGCGAACGTGAATTGGTGATAAATTAAAAGAGTATTTTAATTTATCAATTTTCATTATATCAAAATAATAATTCACGTTGTTAGACATCGTGATTGAGAACCTAATGGGTTGTATACAAAAGGAGAACTAGAAGATTGTGATTTGTCAATTAATTAATTTAATAAGAGTTGGATAAATTAATTAATTGGGTTGCTTATTTATAGGCCCAAATTAATTAATTGGATTAATTAACTAATAGATCGAATTTAATTAAATTGGTTAATTAAATATTAAACCGACTCAGGAGACAAGTCAAGCCTTTTTGGGCTTATATAAATAAGTTGCTAATGTTTTAAAATTGTAGAGAATTTTATTTTTCTTACTAGCACAAAAAAAAAGAAAACTCTTGTTCTCTACAATCTTGTTCTCTGTATGGAATTTCATTGGAGGCTGGACAATTGGACAGTTGTAGGTGGCAGATCAAGATTGCTGGAACAAAAGAAAAGCGAAGGACTTTGCAAATTTCACGAAAAGATATAACTTTTATCACAATTTCTATCTAAGCACAAAAGAAATCATTGGTGGAATTGAAATCTGTTAAACTTTTTGCTGTGCTTGTTAAATAAATTCCCAACTATGGAATCAAAGCCTACTTTTTGTTTGTTAGAAATTGTTTAACATCTTTGTGCAATCAAAAGTTGATTGTTATCCATTTTTTAGCGATTAATGGAAATTTGATTTTCATATTTTTGAAATATGGTTCTGAAAACAAAAATGAATAAATAAATAAAGAGATCAAAAATAGGGTTGGGAAACGTGGGCGGTGGCCGTCGAAGCCGAAAGCTCGAGCGATCGCCAGCGTGGCGGCTGCACTCAAGTGAACCAGTAGCGGCAGATGGTTGGTAGGGCATCGTTGGGCTACTGCTGATGCTGGTGCAACAACAGCAAGCGATGCGCTATGGCGATGGGGTCCCATAAGTGGCGCCAGCAATGTCGCAGCCAAGAAGAATGAAAGGGTGGGAGTTCTAGGGTTTCAATTGGGTGAAATTTCTTAGGGTTTTCAATTAGGTTCAACTGTTTTGGGGGTAGATTGGAGGCGAGGGCCTCATTTTGCAATTTCTAAAATTGTAGGCCCCCGCCTGCAATATGGTATAGGGGTCAATTTGTTAATTTTCAAATAAGGGTCGTGTTTTTCAATATTTGATATTGAGGACCCCTATTGCGATTTCATTCCACAGGTCAATTTCGTAATTAACAAAAAGGAGGCCTTTTTATAATTAGAGAAATTGGAGGGCCTGTTTATAATTTTAAAACGGTTCAAATTGCAATTTTCAAAAGGTGTTTTGAATTTAAGTATTAAAGTGGTTTTAAAATTGATTTTAGGCCCCGTTTGTGAGTGATTTTTTTATCGCAAAATTTTTTTTTATCATTATTTCAGTATTTCAGCCGTAATTTTTTACTTCTTCTCTCACAGGTCGCCCCCCATTTTTCTCCTAACAGTCAAAAATTCGATTCTTAAAATTACTACCGAACAGGCCCTTAAATTGGTTTTGAACTATATTATCAATTTTGACCCAAATTAAAATTTTATTTAAAATTGTCGATTTTTTTTATGTATTCATTAAAATTAGATTTTAACTTAAATATTAAACTTTGAACCTAAATTGATTTTTATTTATTTAGGAGATTTATCCTAAATTAAGAAATTAATTCAATTTTAATTAGAGTTGGACTCTAATTTAGTTTTTAATTAAATTTTAACTAATTATTCACCCCAATATATTCTTGAAACTAGAGTTAGACTCTAATTCGACATTTAATTAGAATTAGAATTTAATAAAATTGTCACGTCCTAAAATTTGATTTTAATTAAACAAGTTTGCCCTAAAATCTTGGTATTAGAGTTGCACTCTAATTTAGTATTTAATTAAAATTTGATTTTAATTAAATAAGTTCACCATAAATCTTGAGATTAGAATTGGACTCTAATCTTGCTTTTTAATTAAAATTTGATTTTAATTAAATAGTCTCACCCTATAATTGTGGAATTAAAGTTAGACTCTAAAGTGTTATTTAATTAAAATTTAATTTTAATTAAATATATCCGCTAATTAAATTAATTGACTATTTAATTTTTCTGATCCATTTGTCTAAAATAGTTTAAACTACATTAATTGCTATAAAATTGAAACATATTACATATAATATTATATATTATATGGGAATACATTTATCTAATGAATATATTATTAGTGGACGATTATGAACTCGACCATATGGATGTGTTGGATGGTTAATTTTATTCTTGTCATTTTATGAGCCTGTGAGCTCTTAATTGTTTTGGACCTGCGAGTTCGTTATTATTGTTATTATTATGGGTCTGTGAGCTCTTAATCATTTTGAACCTGCAATTCCGTTATTGTTATTGTTACTATGGGCATGCGAGTCCAATTTCATTTAGACCTGTGTGCCAACTAGTGTAAGAGGTTGTAGCTAGACAGATTGAAGACGCAAGAAGAGGAGAAAACCACAGAGATGGTGCATTGATACTAATCAATGCAATATTCCTTAGAAATTGACCAACTAATCTTCCTTATGGTTCAAGAAGATTAGACAGTAAAAGTCCATAATTGTCCACACTATTTTATTATATTATACATGTATTTATTTGCATGTAGATGTATAATAATATATATATGATAGTTACGATGAAACATTTGAATGCAAAATCCCTTAATAAAATATTATGTTGGTATTATTATTTGCGTTCCATCATTATAGTGAAAAATGAGAGTCCTAAATCAATCTCAACTTTTTGAGTACACTCAAGGTCAATCTGTTAGAGATATGTTTGACACTATGAAATATTTAATATTTCTAAATGGTGAGTTCGATTTAACTAAAATTTATCTTTTTTGAGTACACTCAAGGAGATAAGTTTTATAAGCGTGTTAAGCTAACACATAAGATGTGTATAGACGAGGAGTGTCAACTTAATAATCTGGGAGTTGTATAGAGATGCAATTGATAATAGTATCTACCCAAATATTTTATTAAGGCTTGTTAAGTACACTGAAGGTCTTAATTTAACAAATGGGAACCTAGCCCATTGGGAGTCAAGTATGGATTCCATAAATTTGTGTGAGATGGTCATAAATTTGAGTTACATAGTGGGAGTATGATTAATTTAATGGAAGACCATCTTAAATTTATTGATGCGTTTTATATATTATTCATTTTCTTCTCATCATTTATATTGAATATTGAGTGACCATATGTATTTGAGAGGTACACTGGATGCCATTGATCAAACCAAATTTCTTTTGATTGACACTGCAATCTGAGAATTATTTTCAAGCATGAGAAAATTGGTTATGTCATTGAGTAACCCTTTTCAGAAACACTTGCTGAAAACTGAATTAAAGAAGAAATGACTGCTATAATAACAAAATGATAACAATATTACTTAACTAAAATTTATCTTTTTT